CAAGGCTCCGTCCTAATACCCCCTACTAAACCAATTTCTGTAAGGTAAGAGTCCCTTCCTTAAACAGCAGAAATGTTCTGGTGATCTCATTTCCCTCTAGGCCTCTAGAATTCTAGTTTCTTCATATCTTCCTATTAATGCTTGTGTCTTCTCCTCTCTTTTAAGTTATCATGTCTTGTCTTAATTCTTTTTTCTTCTTCCCTATTCTTCCTGTCTTCAGTGTGGTCTTTCGTCCCCACCCTTCCGATATATTTTATATAACCTTACCCTTTCACCTTGTTCTCTGTCATTCTTGTTTTATTACTTTTATCCCAATCTAACCCTACTCTGTCCCTTTCCTTCTCCCTGCCCTGATTTCTAAGTTGTTTCCCTATTCTTGCCTGTATCACCCTTTGAGCATTTTATGGCTGTAGCAGATTAGAAGGCAGAGAGCCCAGCAGAGGTGTGAAACCGGTAGACTTTTTGGTTTGAACCAAAAATACCACTTATGCGCTTATACCACAGGGAGGTCACTCTTTTCTAGCCTGCAAGACTGGCGACCAGCGCAGGAGTATAAGCAAGTACCGTGTAAGGACCTGAGTTACAAAACTAGAAGTGATCAACCTCAGAAATGTCACACCCAACTTGGCCCAGAAATACAGGAGGCTGTTTTCTGCTGTGACGTTTTAAATCACTGAGAATCACATTTGTCATGAGTCTGTAATTCATTAGTGATCTCATGGCAGACCAGCGCTTGTAGGTAACGCACCCAAATCAGGGTTAGATAGTCTGCAGCGCTGAATCTCAGGCTGTGCACTTAGGGTGCTCAAAACTAGGCACTGAAGGCTTGAAACGGTGATGGTAATTACAGCTTTTGCAGCTGTAACTCTCCAGCAGCATGAAGGGAGTTTCTGTACCTGCCATAATCGTAGGATCCATCTCCTTAGCCTTGGTTCCCTGGCAGCTGGGTGTCTAGGCTATGCTATCTGTCTGGGATCTCTGGGTAGTCAGAGAAGAAGGATTGGCACCTCTGGGGCACGTTATTCCCTCTTCAGGTAGACCCAGGGATTGGCTTGCGAAGGTGCTTCTCTTTCACTGCTGAATACAGAGGAAGCCTGGATACCTACCTGTTAGCTGGCTGAAATGAATCCCCACCCCAAAAGGCAGCTGCCTGAAATACTTTACAGTCGTGTTGGATGTTGGTTTATTCCTTCAGGGAGAAAAGGAAAATAACATCGAATCAAAAACCTTCATTAAATGGTCAGCTGTTAACTGCTTTATATTGTCATGTCTTCATGCCTGCTGCAATGTAAGAAGTAAAGTCTAGTCTAGAGAGAAGGTGAGTGATGAATTTAGCCAATGGATCCAGTGAGAAAATCTGTATTGTGCTGTTAAAATTAAATGTGTTTTACAGAACGCTCCTCAGGTCTTGGTAAGAAGTTGGTATATTCAGACTTACACGTAGCATTGGCCATGAGCACACTCTTACGTATTAATCTCATCTTACATTTTTTATCTTGGCCTTTACTTTTGCTTGAGGCAAAAGAAGTTAATTATTCACATATGACCCACAGTAATTAGTGCAGTTTTGGATAAGTATAAATGAAGTATGACAGCTATGCACGCAAGGGTGAGCAAGTTTCAGTAGGAAACTTTCTGAGAAAAGATCACAGAAACTCAGCATTGCATAATCTGGACTTTTTTTTTCTTTCGAAAGGCTGATCTTGCTGACAATTGTTTACCTAAGTAGTATGTGTTTGAGAACTATATTTTTTTTTCATTTACTATATATGCATAGCCACTAAAACATTCGCAGTCGTTTGGATACAGGAGGAGAAACAATGTGGTATTTTGAACAACTTTGTTGATTGGAAAGTTTACTTCTTTAAAACTTAATTAAAAATGGAAACAAAATATTATAGACAGTAACAGTGCATTTCATTCTCTTAGAGTGACCCCTAGGTTTTTTGAAGTATGCTATCGTCTAGCTCCCCAATACTTCTCACCAGTGTCCTCAAAACTTAGTGTACTGGTGTGGGCATGGAGTCCACTGGGGGGCGAGCTTGAATTGCACATCGTCTCTCCAACTAGAAAAATGGCAAGTGAAACCTGTAACAGTTAGAGCATTTCATAAATCACGAGCACTTGCATTAAATTTCTCTTTCTAGTATCAGCTTCTTGTTGTTGTTTTGCCAAATCGTCAAATAAAGCTATCAGGAGGTACCGGGTGTGATGGAGAGCCTTCGGGGCTCGCAGGCAATCTTGCAGCTCAGGTTTATCAACTCTTTTCGCAAGGAGAAACTGTGAAAAATTGGCTCACTGGAGTTGTGTTGAGTTAGTTTCTGCTTCGGTGAACTTAAAGAAAATTACTAATGTGTGACTCTACAAATGAGTAATCTTTAAAAATGGGAAAACCAGCAGCCCTGGGTTGCGTTCCCGGTCTGCTTATGTCTGCATTGCACTCGGCGTAGGTGCTGGTGTCAGCCCTGGGAATGGGGAGAGCTGTAACTCCTGTTCCCTGTGACGTCTGGACCCATGCAGCCCCGGTGGGACTGACGTTCTTCAGTTTGCTGCTTTTAGTTTGAAGATGGAGAGGGAAACAACCATAGCGTTATTTTATGATATGTAATAGCTATTTCAGGCCTTTCAGGCGGTACTGAAGTTGCCGTTGACACTTCTGCTGAGCATTGCAGACTAAGTAATACTGGTTGCTTCCACTGTGGTTTTTTCCCCCCATCAAAATTTCGTTCTAAAAATATTTAAATTTATCGTAATGAATTGTTGTTTCCTTCTCTACTAGCCCTGGTTTGTGAAAGATCTGCAGACTCTGTTCCCTCTGAAGAGAGATGATGAAAGTCTGATAGGTTTTATGTAAATTGAAGAGGCAAATCATGCCTTCTGTTGAGAGGCTGATACGGGTTATAAAAACTAGACTTTAATAACTGGTCTGTGAAGTTGGTGGAACTGGAAATCATGGGTCTGTGAAAACTGTAAAATGCATTAAATAATTTCATTATTTTGGAAAAAAGCAGGCAGATATTTTCATGCCATAAAACTGAGGACATACGTCTTGACCTCCTCTCTGGCTAGATGTTTCTGAAATGTCAATGGAAAGCTGCAAAGTAGTCAAAATTGTTTGCAATTTCCCTGCAAAATTTCACTTGACTTGTCATTATTTTTCAATCATCTGTAACTATAATGAAACTAAGTTCGTCAGCTAGATACGGTGAAGGTGGCAGGACAAAGCCATGCAGTCAGGCCATTTATCGGGTCAAATGCAATGCAGTAAAGCCTCAGGTGAAATAATACATTTTATGTATTACAGGCTCAATCAGCTTATTAGTTGTGGATAAAGGGCGTGACTAGAAAGATGAGAGGACAGGGGAGTCTGTTTTAGGGAGAGAGAAGAGAGAAAACAAGAACAAACATCCAGGACCCTTTGGGCTAGTTGCCATAACAGTGCGAAGGAGACATTAGAAAGTGAAAACACCTTTTGGATAGATGACAGTGGTCATACAAAAAACACACAAACCCTTTTTTATTCATAGTGATTTCAGTTGCCTTGTTAATGCATTAAATAATGAAAAGCATGATTATCAAAAGATGGCAGGTTCTGGCTGCCAACAGAGACACTGCAGGGCGGTGGCTGGTGGCTGTGGGCGATGTCCTGGGGCACGCATGTGGTGATGCACCCGGTCATGGACAAACTGTCCCACTGGCCGACCACGTG